GATATAGACAAATATTTAAAGTGACCGAAACTAGAGTAGATGATGATCTTTCTAATAAAATACTTACACACAAATAGCATCTGGAGTCAGATCACACGTGAAGATACGCTTATCACAGGGATTAACAAAACACGGAGGTGGAGGGTCACATGGCTCTGAATAAGGATATATAATACTTTATTAGGTATGCATATCTATTACGCATAGGTGTAATTTCGCCCTACCTGACATGGAAATGTACTGCAGTACGTTTGAAAAAAATCATCGAAGTTAGAACTCGTAGTTCTTATTTTTCGTTTACGTAATAAAAATAAAACATCACAATCATTCAAACTTAAAACACTATCATAGAACTCATAGTCAAAAGGTTCTTACTGTACATTTTATTGATCCAAACATAAAAATAAGGCATATTTTACACTGGCACAAATTGTTACGGTCAGACACAACGTAGAAAGTAAGTAACTCTACATTATTAGAATGTGCGCAACATCTTTCATAGTAATATTATTACAGACTACTATTTTCAGAATAATTTTTTTTCTGAGATCATGAATTGGCTGATTTTTGTTTAAATGGATGTGCACTAGAACGGAGCTTGAATACTAAAAAGGAATATTGCTCAATACAAAAATGTTACAAAGCTAGGATTATTTATTAATAAGTTGGTTGGTTATCTTTCTATAACAGGCATACAACGTAAAAAGAGGCTTGCAAAGTGGTATGGTTAATTCGTTACAGACGTTTAAGAATATAGGTACAGTTATGTTAATACACGTCAAACGAGGATCAATACCTGGTAAACATATACACAGTTCGCAGCCATCTTTATCAGTGACGTAACCAAACGGACAATATTTCTCACAGGAATTTAGCGTACAATTTACTGAAATAAGAGATATGATATAAATGTAGGCTGCAGCAGTTATAAGCAACGAAAATGAAATGTAATGGAGAACTAAAGTGTACTATCATCATGAGGAATAATTAGCATCCTTTCCCGCCATCTCATCCTTGTCGTCGTCGTCATCATCATCAGTGTCATCATCATTTCCATTATGTATAATCATCAGCAGTTATAAGCAACGAAAATGAAAGGGAATGGAAAACTAAAGTGTACTATTATCTTTATGAGGAATAATTATCATCCTTTCCCGCCATCATCATCATCATCCTCGTCGTCGTCATCATCATCATCACAGTCATAATCATTTCCATTATGGTAATCATCCTCATAATCATACACAACCTTGAAAGGTAACTTAAATTTTTGTTATATATCAACATGACAGAAGTCGATAATAACATACATGCCTCTATAATCGTATTCATTGACATCGTCATTCTCATCAAATTCATTATGATGATCATCGTCACGTATCGTTGAGGTCGTTATCATCATCATTGTTATCAAAATCATCATCTTAATCTTCATCGTCGTAATCGTCATCATCGTCGTTATCATCATAAATATAATAATTGCCAACATCATCATAATTATCAACATCTCTATCATAATCATCATCATCATCATCATCACTATAATCATCATTACTATTAACACTGTGAGCCCCTCAGGTTGGTAAAATTTTAAAAAAATGTTATATGCATATTTACATGGTGGACATCAATGTTTTACAATAAATAGACTAAAATTCTAACATCATAGTTTCTATGGTGAATATTTTATTATGAAATCATGACATGATATATAGGCCTAATTTAAAATATTTTACTCATTATGTAATTAGTTAATCAATTAGTCATTATTACATAATCCTTTCACGGGATATAAAGAAAACAATACAATTAATAATATTATTTGTTTTTCTTGTATCCTTTATTTATGTACCTAATGGTATCATGAATTAGTAAGCATAACATATTTACTGAACTCCAAATACATAGGCCTACCTTCTCTACATTCACAAGTGGGACAGCCATCTTCATCAAGAACATTCCCAAATTCACAGGCTACGTCACAAAAGACGGGTGGACATTCTGTGAAAATATAATTAATATGGTTCAATAATTACGAAATTTCAATTCAGTATTTAGACATATTAACTAAAGACAGTTGAAAATTCCTAATATTTTAATCCTTTTCACAAGACAAACATACAGTAGATGCTTTACATAGAGGCTTAGTAATGGAGTTTTTTACACATTATGCAAGAATATGATATACATTAGTTCAATAATTAAGCAATTTGTATTTTATATCTTCAATTCATTTTTAGGCATATTAACAATTGTCAATAGTCAGGACAAGCATTGATGTTTTACATAAGAGGCTTAGAGTTGTTGGTTTTGAGAAATAGAAATAAAATTCTTGTTACTAGGACAGGAATTGAAGTCGAGATGGGGTTGGGAGGCAAGCATCTAAATTCTAAACCACTAAGATAGAGCTCCATTTAGTCTCTAATGCCCAGTCTTGAAATGTGGGGGAGGGGTGAAAGGGGAGGGGAGAAGATGGAATAGGGGAGTGGCTCGATGATTAAGTGAGGGGGCGCTAGTTATAGGTCACAAAATAAGGTGATACGAGATTTTTAACTACTTTTTTTTTCGTGAACTGTTTTTATAAACGTCTTTCAAAGCAGTCTTTATAGTAATTTAAGCGCCGTCAGCATACTCTGTCTTTGTGGCAGATTGGGCGCTATATAATAATAAGTTCAATAATTAAGCAATTTGTATTTTATGTCTTCAATTCATTTTTAGGCATATTAACAATTGTCAATAGTCAGGACAAGCATTGATGTTTTACATAAGAGGCTTAGAGTTGTTGGTTTTGAGAAATAGAAATAAAATTCTTGTTACTAGGACAGGAATTGAAGTCGAGATGGGGTTGGGAGGCAAGCATCTAAATTCTAAACCACTAAGATAGAGCTCCATTTAGTCTCTAATGCCCAGTCTTGAAATGTGGGGGAGGGGTGAAAGGGGAGGGAGAAGATGGAATAGGGGAGTGGCTCGATGATTAAGTGAGAGGGCGCTAGTTATAGGTCAAAAAATAAGGTGATACGAGATTTGTAACTACTTTTTTTTCGTGAACTGTTTTTATAAACGTCTTTCAACGCAGTCTTTATAGGGATTTAAGCGCCATCAGCATACTCTGTCTTTGTGGCGGATTGGGCGCTATATAATAATAATAATAATAATAATAATAATAATAATAATAATTATTATTATTATTATTATTATTATTATTATTATTATTATTATTATTATTATTATTCCAAATCTATAAATGTTTCATTTAAAAAAACCAAATTGAATCTTACCACAAACAGCCAGATCACCATCTACTGTGTAAAATTCCTGGGTACAATTACAGTTGTCGGCGCTAGAAAGATATTTTTATATCAATAAAATTCATGAATGAAATTTACATTAATTGTAAATTGCACACCATTTAATTATAATACAGGTTAAAATGGTATATACTCTCTAAATATAAAAGAGTGAAAAGGCGTAAAAATTGCCTACAGTGATCACCCTAACAATGAAAAAGAGTAAAAAGGAAGTGAAATGTTATATATGTGCCCTTTTATCGTTGCCTGACAGAGATAAGCATACATAGGACGAAAAAATATTAATTATGTTGAAGCAAAAGAGGTAAGTTAATGTTAAATTGCCGATGGCATGAAATCGACAATTACCGTATTGGGAATAGGAGAAAAAATATGATGTTAATTCTGATGATGACAATGATGACGATACCGACAACGACGATGACGACGGCGATGATGATAATGATAAAGATAATGATGATGATTATGATGATAATATTTGTTACTTACACACAGATAGCATCTGGAGTCAGATCACATGTAAAAATACTATCATCACAAGGATCAATTAAACACGTGGATGGAGGGTCGCATGGCTCTGATTGGATATAAAAAGACATAATAATCATGTTTATCTATTACGTCATCAAATATAGTGTAAACGTCACCAAATAGTGTTAAAGCCTCATAGAAAAGTTAGAAAGTTCGTTTAATAAAAAATACACCATAATATTGCTATACTTATTATTCTCAACATGTTATAAATATTATTATACAAAAATAGAAGAACTATGGATTATCCAAACTTACCGGGTAAGCATATGCACAGCTCGCAGCCACAGTCGTTAGTGACATAACCAAACTCACAGTTTTTATCACAACGATTAGCAGGACACTTTTCTGAGAAAGAAAAATTGGATAATTAAAATGAATTAAACGTCAAAGACAGACCATAAACTTAACCCACTACCTGGTCTCTAACCCAGAACATTATTGGCTAAATACACGGCGAATATTATAACTCACAAATGGTTTGGTGGCTAATCCAAGTGCCAGTAGAGATTGAAAATAATTCGTTTTATTAAAAGTATAGGCTTACTTTTCTCAAATATGGTTATTAATTTTGGTCCTATATATAAGCATGTAGCACGCAGTACCGGTATATTACCAATCCATTTTAAATTTAATCATATATTACTTTTATTTGTTTTGTATGTAGAGGTATGTAGAAATTAGTCTATAACAAAACGGTTGTATTTCTAGATTTTTCCAGGCCAGTTCATATACGCAGCCGGTTGATTTGTCAGCGGTAAGCCCTCTTCCGTGATTTTAATCTTCTTTATTTTCTGGTTTAAGATTTTAGACATAGGCCCCTAAGCTAGTTCTATAAGTGATTAGCTAATACAAGACCATTAGAATACAGGTCAGAACAGGACTGAAGCTTAGCAATACAAGCTCAATTTTATCAGTAGCATTTTTTTTCTTTCTAGATTTGTTGGGGTGTGGAGGTGAAATCCGGCTGTGAATAATAACGAAGGAGTGTACGGCATGCATTTTTTTTTCTAGACTTGTTGGGGTGTGGAGGTGAAATCCGGCTGTGAATAATAGAGAAGGAGTGTACGGTATATGATTCTGAGCATGTAAAACCAGCATAATAACGAATGCATCCCCTAAATTTTAGAATGGGCTTGGTATGGCCCGTTTGTATAATGTAGTACCGGTATAGTGAAAATTAGGGGTCCTACTGATTTAGCATCACCAGAGTATAAATTTTAAAAATGAGCTGGGGTGATCCTCCAGAAAAATGGGGCGGCCGGAACACATTCAGATATGAGTTCATAAACAAATTCAGATGTCGGCTCATAATACATTCAATGAAAAAGGGAAAATCTGATGTCTAAGTATATGCTATTGGGTTCATTCAGTGAGACATGTTTCGAAAACCTAAAATGTCAGCCAATTTTGAAATTCAAGATGGCTGCCTTAAAAATTGTAAAAAAAAATCAAATATTTAAGTATAATTTCACATCTACTCTATGAAAAATGGTTTATTTTTGTCTAATCTGTGTTTAGGCTCTCTGAGTCCAATAAACATTGTTTCAAAAGGATAGGATGACAACCATTCTGAAATTCAAGATGGCCGCCACAAAAACTTTCGAAAATCGAATATTTTGGTATGTAATTCCACTTCTCCTCAAACAAAAATGGCCGCCACAAAAATCGTTGAAAATCAAATATTTTGTTTTTATAATGTAAAAATTGCGCCACAGGTAAACGTTATTGTTTGTGTGTACAGCTCTTTGTAAGCCAGTTCCAAAAGATCAGTCACACCCAAGTTCTTTTAAGAAATCTCTATTTCTATAGATGGTTAGTTTATACATAACAAGGATATTAAAATACGATTTTGTACAGGATTGAGATGAAGAACCGTACTTACTTCGCTGACAACGACGTCCTCTGGAACACGATGGACATTCGCATATATAGCCTCGGATCGTACGTGGAGCTGGCACGCACGTACCTCCATTAAGACAATTATTATTCTCACATGCGTCCAGTTTGACAGCTTATGTAATAAGAAATAATATTTCATTTTCAAATAATAACAAGTTATAGAACATAAAAAAAAGCAAAACGTATAGCACTTTGGGAATAGTTACAATTTTATTATCACAAGCTTTTCAGATAAAGCGTCGTTCACCTGAAGAAATGTCCTGTGTGCACAAAATAATTTAATAATTTCTATTATCACAAGCTTTTTGTGCATCCGGTACACTTCTAAGTGTACCGTGTGCTCGAAAGATTGAGATAATAGAAATCTCAACTATTCTCAAAGCACTACGTTTTGCTATCCCACTGTTTTATAGACTACTAGCGACTCGTAAACAATTTATAGTACAGTTCACCCCCTAATTCGAGACCCCTCTATTACCAACACCCCTCTAATTCGAGACAACAATTTAAAAGTTCCAACTAACAATCTTTTATCATAACACATAATTAACCTTCTAATTAGAGACCGAATTTTCAGGGTCCCAAAGGTGGTCTCGATTTAGAGGGTGAACTGTAATTTTGTCTAATAACGATGAAAGAAATGATAAGAATAAATGTAGCCATCATTCCTGATGATGACATAATTAATGTCGAAATATTTAATCCCGACACGATGGCGTGCATTTCGATACTTGGAGTATGTATTATACTATCTTAAATGTAGTTATTTTATGTCAATAATAAAATAACACTTCTAACTTTCCTCTTATCATAATGATGATGATGATGATGATGATGATGATAATAATAATAATAATAATAATAATAATAATAATAATAATATAAATAATAAGTTAATTACAATATATGACGTTGATAATAACACTATTTTACCTGTACATTGCACCTCCCTACCAGCTATGTCATAAAAGTGTGGTCTACAATCGCAGTGGCTGGGGCTTCAACAAAGGAATGATACATTAATATAATTTATTTTATCATTCATTATTGATACATTAATACAGAAATGTTGTTGCTGCTAGCGCTACAGATTTGTCGTAATTAATAATTGCATTTGTAATAATGAAAATTGATAATTACTATATAAAAAATTATTCAAAGTTCATTTTTCTACATTCAAAATAAAACAGCGATTGATGAAATGTATATAAACAAATCTCCTCAAAGCTAGGTGATAATCACTATTTAGTCGAAGTTCCTGACCCACAAAGTCCCGGATGTTCATCATTTATACGCGTATTAAACAGCTTGATTATTGCTTTTGAGTTAGGAAATCATTTCATCCGTCTGTTTAACACTTCCTTTATTGCTACTCGACTTCCTTTAATTCTTCTCAATATTGTTTATTACAATCAGTTAAGACATACTTAGAGAAGTTTTAATCTTGCCTAACACCACAGAGATTTACTTTTTACTTAACATTAAAAAAAAAAAAGCGATCGGAGATATACCTAGATATTCGTATTTGCACTACAATCGTCCATTCATCCATTCTTTTGTTGATTCATTTGTTTATTCATAATTTCATTTACACTGGTTTTTTTTAAAATAAAAACCAGTAAAATTAGGCTCAGGCTCAGTGTTTTTTTTTTTTCGATGTTAGGCTCAAATGTATTTATTTTGTTCTTATTTTTACACATTTTTCAAACATAGAAAATTATTATTTTACAGCAGTATATTGTACTGTATTATAGAGGGTATTACATAGCCACACCTACAGCAAATAAGGTACAGATAAGGTTTGTTGGATTTTCTATTTAAAATAAATAAAGACCTTGACATTTTACCTCAACCTCAATTTGTTCTTATTTTGCTCTTAATTTTTTTTTTAATTCGAATAAAATGTGTTCTTAAAAAAAGTGTAATTCATTTATTTATCCATTCCATTATTCATTCATTCCTGCACTTGTTATTTTGCTCGCCGATCTGTTCGTTCGTCCACCCGTTCGTTCGTTTGTTTCATTCATTCATTCATTCATTCATTCATTCATTCATTCATTCATTCATTCATTCATTCAATAATTCATTCATTCATTCATTCATTCATTCATTTATTCATCCATTAATTAATTAATTAATTAATTCATTCATTCATTCATTCATTCAAATTAATTAATTAATTCATTCATTCATTCATTCATTCAATCATATTCATTCATTCACTTATCCGTTCGCCTTCATTCATTTATCCGCTTATTCAGCCATTTATCCATTCTATCATTCTTTCATTCATTCATTCAATTTTTTTCAAAAATCCTGGTGTTTTAAATATGTCTGTATAATTTGAATCCATGACCCTGGAATGGATTACAATATACTTGTAATCAAGCTTCTGCTCCACGTCATGGATGATGCCTGTTTCTCATGTGTGGGCTAAGTCAAATATTTGAATAAATGAAAAAAAAACACTAAAAAAATGTAAAACGCATGTTACATAATGTAGACCTATACTTACACACATACTGTTGATATTTTTAAAGGACAAACCACTCCTGGCGCGCACGGGTCGCGTTTGCACACTTTCGGGAATCTGCAGTTAGTATCTGAAATAAATCACCGATTCAGTTCACATTATTTAATAAAAGTAAAAAGAAAAATGATCATAACAAGGAGTTTAACAAGCTAGACGACCAGGGCCGGCGGAACGTGAACGTTTTTCAAAACGGAGAGGTGGGGGCACTAGTAAAATGAATGGGAATATGAATCAGGTTGTAGACCTATCTGGGTTAAAATTTAGGAGGTGGGGTCAACATTTTCCCCCAAAACCACAAAAAAGATTATGGCGGGAAATGAACTTTCCTGACTTCTAAGCTAGGTGTCTTTTATTGAATTTTAAGTTCTTCAAAATTCATGATTTTCCTCCTCCTGAAAACGGTCAGGTAAAATTTCTCATTCTTATTACAGTAAATAGGTCTGTTATGTGTCTATGTATACATACAGCTCTCAATGAACCTAAAAGAGAAAGGCGGGTTCAGGTTCTTACAGGGAAAATGTTGATTTCTAAATGGCGGGAAATGGGCTTTCCCGACTTCTCAAGTTCTTCAAAATTCAAGGTTTCGCCCCTGGAAACGGTCAGGTATTTTTTCTCATTCTTAATACAGTAAATAGGCCTATGTGTGTACCGGTATACATACATTGCATATCGTATTCTTTTTTTCATGAATCGAAGAACCCCAAAAGTAAAGTATTTAAATATAAATAGAGCTAGACCACGTTTCTCCTGAACAAGTAACCTTTGAAAACTGACAGGAAAGATGTAGGTAATTACATATGGCAGGTATCGGGATAGAGGGGTATGGTTTTCGATTTTCTTTGAGTACGTGATAAACGAATATTTTATTTTTATTGCGGTGCGGATCGTGAATTCATATTACATTTTTAATTTTATTTCCATGTCCTTTTTTTAAATAGTTTAAGTATATTCACAATGAGAATAGGCCTATGTAAACATATAATACGCTAAAATATCTGCGAATTAAAAATAGGACTACAACGAGAAAAAACATTTTAAGTCGTTAGTGAATATCAAATTAATATTCAGGTATACAATAATTAAAGGCAATTCGTTTGTTTTGAATGAAGAAACTAGTCGCACATGACAATAGGCCTAATTACATTCAATTTCTTAACTTAATTAGGCCTAACACTCGTTAAGAATCATTGTTACAGTATAGTTTAGATAGGAACAATTTCATAGTTTGTATTTATGGTACGATGCATTTTAATTCACCATTTGAAGTCTGAATACCAATTTCATTTTATTGGTGCCAAATGTTTCCTGCTGGAGATTGGTTAACATAGGCCTATTTATAATAATGCTTGGCCTACTATACCTGGTTTACAAGCACATGTTTCACACCCATCGCTATCTCTTTCAAAGCCAAACGGACAATCATAAAAGCACTCCTCAGGCAAACAAGAAACTGCAGGCACTAAAGAAATACAATCAAGTAGTCAAACCAATCAATAATACTACATAACAATAAATGTATTTTGTTTAGGATAAAAGTATTTTAATTAGGGTACTAATTATAAAGCAGTACACACTATTATTTGAAAACCAGTCGGTAAAATAAAGTGTTGCACGAATATAACTTTTCTACTTTTTTTAATTAATCCTCACCTCCATACCCAGACTAACTGCTACAAAACAAATCGATTAATCAGATGACGTATAATAGTGGGTTGGAGACTGCTGTTGAACTGTGGAGCTAGGTGTTAAGTGGCTGAACAACAGCAATACTTGTCTTTAGAGGAGCAGGGATGCTCTGTTTGGCCTTGTGGACAACAACTGGTTGCCTATTAAAATTTATATTGAAATTGATGCCTGGTTGCTTACCGGTTTTGCAAGCACATACTTCGCAACCGTTTTCGTCAAGCGCGTAGTCGTACTGACAATAGAATGGACAGGCGAGTTCTGGACAAGGTGGCCGGGTTACTTCGCCGGTACCTGTGAATGCACATTGTTTTGAGAAATAATAAACCTTGCAACAGAAATCCATGAACTCATACACACCTACATAATTTACGTCATTCTTTCAGTCACGAAATCTCATGAAACAAAATGGTACTCTTATTATATTTGAAAAATGAAACGTTTAATAGTAAAGTTAATTGGCAATCTCTCGGAAAATACTGAATTAAAATAACAGAAAATACAGACATAAGGAATAAGTATAACAAGCCTAGGCCTACTGGAATTTCAGACGAGCTAGCCTACTTTCTTTATTACAGTAGGCCTATATGGATATTGACTCTGGACTATACTTGAGAGACCGGGAGGACCTTGGTTGAATCCCTGCTGTTGGTTGTACGTAAATTTTTCATTTACAAATACTGTGTTCAAAATACATTTATACAGTTACAATATGTGAAACTTCTCCGATATTTACAGAATTTATGTACAAGTCGAAATCTCTAATACAAATTGGAGGCCTGTCTACTTTATTTGTCGGTCTAATAGATAAAAATTGTTTTCCACTTGAGGTATTAAAATTTGTTTTTTTCTATGTACAGTCCAACTAAAGGAAATACTCTCAAAGAGTGTGAAACAAACAGGTCCTGAATCTAATTGGCAATGAATCCGTTGGTTCAACACATCAGTTAAATATTATCACGTTGATGGATTTTGTAAAATGTTATTCTTAAGATTTATTTTGGAAATAAAGAATATCAATGATATTGGATAAACGGTGAAGTGATGAGATAATTGCCTTCGAAACACAGAACGCCTAAGCGTACCTACGCACTTCTATTTCCTCTGAATGTTTCCTTCCTACGCCAATTACCTTGAAGTTTTAGAATCACGTGGGATTAATGAAAATATACAAACTTTACATTGGCTCACTTTAAATTTTGTGAAAGATATATTGCCATTTGCTTTCGTAACAGACTGAATAATTTTTGAAAATTTCTCAGCGCAAGAGAAAATTTGATATGGGGAACGGGGTAGGGTTCCAAGTTAAGCTTTGTTTTGCAAACTTTAGTTGCAAAACAAAAGCATTAAAGGTTTTTTTTATTCGTGCTCCGTTAAAATTGTCACTAAATTGTCATTTTTACCTGATTTACATGTACACACATCGCAGCCATTTGTATCGAAGCTGTATTCATATTCTTGGCATCCCGTCGGACATTGTACCTCTGCACAGGGGAATCGATCTGGGGCTGAAATATCAAAATATTTGGTCACAGTATGTATCATGGATCTACTCAGTTTATTGGTGACCATTAGCAATGTCATACGTTATATCTAGCAATCATGATGAATTAGGTCTACGTAATGTGTTGTATTATTATTATATAATTCATATCACATATGGTAACCTCTTTGAGGCCTAATGATGAACCTAACAATATAAACAAGTAGCAGCAACCAATATTTGCAGAAATATTTATCAAATTGTAATTTGCATGCCGACATATATTTGGAGAGTTTACAATAATCTTTACAGGCATTTGGATCGATGTCAGGTTGCTTATGCCAAAGTTTTAACCGAATCATTTTAAAAGAAATAGGCCAGGCCTAACTGTAATCGAGGTATGAATCGAGATTATCAGAGAAGTCAGACCAAAATGACCACCAATGTAGGCTTACAGATCGCGGTTTGTGTTCTAGTTGTCTGCATAACCCCCTGTAATTTACCTGCAAGGCCACTGATGTTGTTATACTCTAGATCTTTCCAGGAGATGATATAATTTTGTATCAATTAATAATATACATTTCCCATTATAAAATAATATTAAATTACGTAGTGGAATTATATTTAAGAAAACTAAACAACGTGAACTTTCATTGAAAATGGGGAGGTTGGGCAGGTGGGGTTTCATAGCTTTCTGTACATTATTATAATACCATGTTTTCTAGTATTCTGTTGGTTAATGTCAACTCACTAATTGGAAACATCGCCTTCCTTGATACCAGGCCTGCCGGCCTATGAGTTATAAACACTTTAATTTCCAAATCATTCATTTTGTTTTTGGTTAATTGCAAATTGTATCTGAAACGTAACAATCAATATAAAAACACTTACTTGTAGGTTCTTGAGCCACTGCGACTGCGCAAAGCAAACTAGTGATAATGGTATGTAATGTCCTGGCCATCTTCATAGGTATACTGAATAACGATATTTTAACCACCCTGTGTTTATATACTTGATTGTGTACCCGGATACTGACGTAACAGCAGACGTGCGAATAATTCCTCTGTGACCAGTTAATCCTCTGATGCGGACGTATATGAAAGTCGGTTCACATACGCCTCAGCGCATTCGAATTATATTTCATGTTTACATTTATTTCATTATATATATATATATATATATATATATATATATATATATATATATATATA